CAGTTACATTTATTCATTTATTTCATTAAATATACTTCTTCCTATGAAAGGAAATAGTTTATGTTATATTAATGATCCATATGTTAATCATACATTGCTACAAATATTGCATAAGTTAACATGGTTTGCATTTATTTATTATTATTTCTTTATCTGTGAGAAGTTCACAGAGATCGAGAATACACAATATCTAATAGTATATGCAATGTAGGTAAAGAATATCCACGCCCCTCTTTTGATATTAATAAAAACATTATATATAATGTTATGTATTAAGTATGCTCTTTTCCCATGCATGGGAAATCTATGCTGCATTTGCTGACGACTGGTTTTTTTCCTTTGACATTGCACAGGAGATCTGTCACTCATTTGTTGTATTTGATATCTTCGTCAAAATATAATGTATAAATACGAATGAATTGTCTCGTTTGTTTCAAGGAAACGGTCATGTGCTCCTTATCTCAACTAGTAACTAATTGTTATTGCAATTGACTCCAGCTAATCTACTACTGGATGATAAATCAATTAACCTATTTGTGGAATAGACGTACCTAATGTCATCCATAATTTTTAACCCGAGGATGGATCTTTCAGTCATAAATTTCGATGTGTACAGTTGCTAGAATATCATTCTAACAATACAGACATGACACAAGCTGCACGTAAAATAATTGATAAAGGTAGTCCTTGCGGGTTCACATACCTACATGTACATCGCCCAGGACATTGTCATTATTTGCTTTATCCTCGGAGCAACGTTAAAAAAGTTGAAACTTGAATAATAATAAATTTATATTATGTATATGAACATGTATAAATCAGCTTGCACACAGACTACTGCAGAATGACATGTCATCCATTTGCTAGTTTAGTTTAGTTTAAAAATATTTTATTCACAGAACAAAATGAGAATTGTATTGGGAACAAGTTCTTGCAACTTAGTAAACCCCTCTCCGCATAAAATATGTACAAATATACAGTTGCAAAATAAATAAATTTGCTTCAGTCAGTAAAAGTAAGACTTTCCACATTTACACATCAAAATATTTGTCTAAGTTTGTTACGTTATAATTATTCCATTGTGTATATTACTACCTACTTTACCAATTGAAATATGATTCCATTGGGTTAAATATGAACAATTATGATGAAAATCGTCAATAGGATATATTACAATTAAGTACAAAACACACAGAGTATTTCTCAAATAAGTAAGAAAACTAAGTTCAATCTAGTAATTAATCCTCTTCTGGACAACCATAGAAATGAAATTCCAATATGTTTATATATATACTCTTCAAAAAAAGAAACTTGACACTGACTTTCAAAATGTAATATAATGCGATTGTTTCAAAATAGGACACAGAAACCATAACTGAAACACTGTTTGAAGATCAATGTACACAATGTTCAAAACATTAATCGTGTCACCTAGACAGACACACGTACACGATACAGTTAATGTCACAGGGGTACAGAAAATGTCAGTATCGGTTGTGCCCACCACGTGCATCAATCACCGCTGGACACCGACGACCCATAGATGCAATCAAGTTGTCAATAACACGCTGTTGGATGTGCTGCCATTCATGCTGACGTGCATCAAGAAGCGCTGGAAGTGTTTTGGGCGGTGGATTCCTTCTGCGAACGCGTCGATCCAACTCGTCCTACAGATGCTCGGGGACAAATCTGGTGACCAGGCTGGCCAAAGTAATGTCTGGATGTTGTTGTGCTGTAAGAAGTCCTGACAAACACGTGCAATATGCGGTCGAGCGTTGTCCTGCTGGAACTGTCCGCCATGAACGTTGACGTGAGGAAGAACGTAAGGCTGTAGGATCAAGTCTCTGTAACGCACACCTGTCAATGCACCTGCCACATGCACGAGAGGCGTCCTACCACTGTGATGAATTCCGGCCCATACCACGACACTCCCGCCGCCAAATGGGACAACCTGCTGCACACAGTTGGGGGCGTAACTTTCACCCCGACGTCTGTAGACACGTGCGCGCCCATCAGCACGTGTGAGTAGGAAACGGGACTCGTCAGTAAACAGTACATTTCTCCACCTTGCACGTGCCCATCTAACCCTCTGTTGGCACCAAAGCAGACGGTCCGCCAGATGACGCGGGGTCAATACATGACGTCGAACAGGTCTTCGTGCAAAAAGTCCAGCCTCCCTCAGTCTGTTGCGTACCGTTTGATCTGATATTCTGCGTACCCCATGGATCTGTGTGGTTTTAGACGTGGCTGTGGTAGTACGGTCTCGGAGGTGTCGCAGCCGGATGTATCGATCTTGTGCTTGGGTTGTCACCCTTGGTCTGTCGTCAATTCTGTTGGTGTTGTTGTATCGGTTCCACAGTGCGGAGATTGTCTGTCTGGATACGCCAAAGTGCCTGGCCACTTCTTGCTGAGCTGCTCCAGCTTGTAATCTCCCAATGGCCTTGTTCCGTTGAGCTGCATTCAGTCTTGGCATTCTGTCACCGCCTCTACTGCCGTTATAAAGACTGTATAAACAGCCATTGATGTGGATTTTTAAACCTATTCAGCAGGGGGGCCTGCATGCCTAAATGCAGGATCCTGTGCCGCACGTTTTTTACAGGCGTTTGCGTTTGGATGAAGCTGTAAAATTGATCCCCAAACGCTACGTGTATGCGCTTTGCATGTGTTTTCGCGAATTATAGACACATCATCTTTCTGTTTGTCTTGTTTGGTTCTCATTTAATGTAATTATTTTAGATATTTGGCAAAAAGTGGTTTTACATCTATGTCAAGTTTCTTTGTTTGAAGAGTATACATATAATTATACAACAATGTACGATAACGACCTCAATCCTCCCCCACACCAATACTTTAATGACGATTGTATGATAAACCCTGTACCAACCCTGACAAGGATAGGTTCCAGTCATTTAACGCCTTTGACACTAAACTTATAAGGTTATTACAATTTACGTAAAAAGTTATTACATTTTACCGCAAGTTGAGATAATTACAATTTACGTCAATTTTTATTACAATTTGCGTATTACAATTTACGTCAAATTTTATTACAATTTACGTTGTTTTTACAATTTATAATTACGTCAAAATTATTACAATTTGCTGCAAGTATTACAATTTACCTTTTTATTACAATTTACGTCGTAACACGCCTGTTGGACATGACCTTTTGATATATACAGGCGAAATGCAGTTTCAACTGATAACGACTTTCTTAACAAAGTCGGTCAGATTAATAAGACAATGGCTCTACAACACAGCTTTGTGGTACAAAGCAGAACAGTTTATCTGTTTGTTAATACACATGATAAGATATTGATGAAAACCGTCCATATTCTCTCAATAAACATATTAGCTTCAGGTAGACTAGATTATTTCCATCAGCGTATCCGCTTCAGGTCGACTAGATTATCTCCATCAACGTATCAACGTCAGGTTGTCCATGTTATCTCCATCAGCGTATCAGCGTCAGGTCGACTAGATTATCTCCATCAACGTATCAGCGTCAGGTCGTCCATATTATCTCAGTCAGCGTATCAGCGTCAGGTCGACTAGATTATCTCCATCAACGTATCAGCTTCAGGTCGACAATATTATCTCCATCAACGTATCAGCGTCAGGTCGTCCATGTTATCTCCATCAGCGTATCAGCTTCAGGTCGACTAGATTATCTCCATCAACCTATCAGCTTCAGGTCGACTAGATTATCTCCATCAACCTATCAGCTTCAGGTCGACTAGATTATCTCCATCAGCGTATCAGCTTCAGGTCGACTAGATTATCTCCATCAACCTATCAGCTTCAGGTCGACTAGATTATCTACATCGGCGTATCAGCTTCAGGTCGACTAGATTATCTCCATCAACGTATCAGCTTCAGGTCGACTAGATTATCTCCATCAGCGTATCAGCTTCAGGTCGACTATATTATCTCCATCAACCTATCAGCTTCAGGTCGACTAGATTATCTCCATCAACCTTTCAGCTTCAGGTCGACTAGATTATCTCCATCAGCGTATCAGCTTCAGGTCGACTATATTATCTCCATCAACGTATCAGCGTCAGGTCGTCCATGTTATCTCAGTAAGCGTATCAGCGTCAGGTCGACTAGATTATCTCCATCAACGTATCAGCGTCAGGCCGATTAGATTATCTCCATCAACGTATCAACATCAGGTTGACTAGATTATCTCCATCAACGTATCAGCGTCAGGTCGACTAGATTATCTCCATCAACGTATCAACATCAGGTCGACTAGATTATCTCCATCAACGTATCAGCTTCAGGTCGACTAGATTATCTCCATCAACGTATCAGCATCAGGTCGTCCATGTTATTTCCATCAACGTATCAGCTTCAGGTCGTCCATGTTATCTCCATCAACGTATCAGCATCAGGTCGACTAGATTATCTCCATCAACGTATCAGCATCAGGTCGACTAGATTATCTCCATCAACGTATCAGCGTCAGGTCGACTAGATTATCTCCATCAACGTATCAGCTTCAGGTCGTCCATGTTATCTCCATCAGCGTATTAGCTTCAGGTCGACAAGATTATCTCCATCAACCTATCAGCTTTCATATCGTCCATATCATCTCAATCAACGTATCAGTTCCAGGGCGTCCATATTAGTATGTGTGTTGTCTTCATCTCTGTGTTCATGCTCAGAGAAGGATTTGTGTTGAAAATTAGAATTCTCTGTACATACGGCTGTTGTAGTATTAGCATTAACAGACACCTTCCAGTTCTGTTATAAAGCGTCAACGCCATGGAATACCCAGTCTTTATTATGTGACGGAACAGACTCAGTTGGGCGTAAAGGCAAAACAGCGGTAAAACGGTATAGCGTAAAGGGTCAGCATGTCCTGCCCAACCGGTAGCACCCGCCACTCGCATGATTTGCATACAAAAATATGTTGCCCGACACAACACAGCTTCCTCCTGCCATGTAAACAGACCAGACATCAAGTGATGGACCAGAAATCCAGTCCAACGATACCGCATTTACTGATTTTATTGAAACTAAAACCGATATGTTAACGACCATAAGTACAATGGTGGCCAATGATTAACAACATGATTAATAACATGATAAAATCGGGATTCGAAGCACAACACCCAGCTCAGTCAGGTGAACACAGCTGAGAACAATGAGTTAGGGCTGACATGTTAACGATCATAAGTACGATGGTGGCCAGTGATTAACAACATGATTAGTATCATGCTACAATCGGGATTCGAACCACAACACCCAGCTCAGTCTAGTCACAGCAGAGAACAATGAGTTAGGGCCCCGATGTGCCAAGCTTAATCCATTAACAAGGATTTGAGTCCCCCACACTCACGTTTAATATGGCTATAAATCAAGATGCTGAAGTATTGGTATGCATCAGTACATGGTCTACGAGACGTTTTCATTACCGCACTGACAGTGTCCAATGCCAACGCACATGTACTAGGCAAAGTTGTACACATGTACGTGTTTGTCCCGAACAGCAATATAGAAGTGTTCCTCGTCACTACACAGACCAAAGTAGTTGTATTTCGACTCGTCTGGCATAGCTGTTTTCATGACAACCTCCCCTTTCTCTGTCAGCTGAACCAGTGTATGAGCTTTATCATCTACAAAGGAGATAAGCCCGGAAGTGGTCACTGTCACACCCCCGGGCCTGTCTCTGCTCGTGGCCTCGGTGTGGGAATACACAAACACAACGGCTCCATAGGTTGTCATGCAGAACAGAGACTTGGATCCGGAATCCACCACAAGAATGTTGCCGTCTGTGGTTGAACACAGAAAGTCCGGTTCCTGGAGAAGGTCCTGACCTATGTCCTCAGCCTGAATTGACCTGAGCACGTGGCCATCAAGGTCCAGGATATCCACACACGATGAATAATCCGCACCAGCGACAAGCGTTGAAGAGTCCAAGGCAGTGAGGCCCCAGTACATCACCCTCGTGTCTATAGTGGCCTGCTGGTCAAGGTCGGGGGACACCTTAAACACCACAATCGTCCTTGACCCAGGGACGGTCACCGCTAATTTGTTGTGTGTCACTTTGGCCAGTTGCCAAGGAAAACTGGTGAGCTTGAGAATGCTGTAACTGTCGCTGTCGTGTCGCGTAAAGAAGGACTTGACGCTGGAGTTGTTGTAGTCGGAGACAACTATTGTCCTGATGTCCGAGACAGTTAGCGTTGTGACATCAAAGGGGTCAGATGGGTTAGTGTCCCCTGGTGTACTGATGTCCAGCGTCCTGTACGGCGTGAGAGAGACCATGTCTATGGTGTCAGCCCAACTACGTGTGGCGTTGAACGTGGCTCCTCGGGACTACAAGTGTATGCTATCAGTGTCCCAGTGTGTTGACTGATAACGTTATGTAAGCTGAAAAGATAATAGTGTTTATATAACTGTTGTTAACTCCAGTTAAATGTTTACTGTTTGTCTAGACATATTTGTGTTTGGCTTCTGTTTGTGCTATTCATGATACAGTACAATAGAGCGGAAATGGCTCAATCTAAACTTGCTGGTTTATTATACTGACATTTGTCATCAGAGTGAGTGAGATGGGTTTAACGCCGCTTTTAACAGTATTACAGTTATATCACCGCTATCAGATAAATGTGGGAGAGGCCCGAAGTGATGCAGGTCTCAGACGTTTATCACTTCGAAGAAACCCACGAGCACAGGTATGGTGCTGACAAACCTAGAAACATAATCGGGCCGAACTGGATTCGGTTTCTGGCGTGCCCAAGGGACGCAACTCTGCACAGCGAATCCCGGCGCCTTAGACGACAGGTCCACCTCTGCCCCCTTGTGATCAGACGATTGGGTGCAAATCAGTTATTACTTCTGATCTATAACTTCTGCTTTAAAGATGAGATGTCCAGATTCACAAGATGACTATTTTGTTTGACCGGCTCCGTGGAAGAGCGTCCGCCCGGAGAGCGGAAGGTCCGGGGTTTGATCCCCGGTCGCGTCATGCCAAAAGACGTTAAAGATGGTACTTGTTGTTACCCTGTCTGGCGCTCGGCATTAGGGATTAGGGGGCAAAATCAAGGACTGGTCGGCTCGGAGTGAGTGTACTGTGTCTGAGTGGGGTATTCATCTTAAACTGCGGCATAGTATCTCAGTGGGCTAGCACTTTAAATCGGCATCAGTCAGGACCAGTACAAGCAGCAACACACACACACACACACACACACACACACACACACACACACACACACACACACACACACACACACACACACACACGTGCATAAGTGCAATAATATTGGACGCGACGTTAAACCCCATTCACCTTCACCTATTTTGATTGTGGTTTAACACTGCAACCAGCAATATGAAGGCGGCATGTAAACAAGTCGAGTCTGGGCCAGTGCTGAATCCAGTGCTGACATCAGGAGCATCGATCTATGTTACGACGGAATGCAATGAAGCAAGTCACCAACCTTGACGCCACGATCCATTTAATCGCCTGTAACGACCACCAAGGGTTGCTGGGAACATTCTTACCCGTACTCCGTGTTACAAGCTGCACTGATATCGTCAATGACCGTATTGTGTCACGTATACCTGTGGGGATTCCTATGAACAATAGGTCTCAGATGCCTGTATTGTCGTGGGAGTTGTCTACACCGTATGGCCTGGCTGATTGCAGTGCCGTGCCCAGATGATGTTTATCGCTGATCATGCTGTCATACACGGGTTTGCCTGGCCCGGATAACTAACATACTGTCCCAATATCGCTCGGATATTGCAGGCGTCAGCCATCATTGACTCACTCACCGTTGTACACGATGTGCGTGACAGTCACAAAAAGTCACATGTTAATCAGTGTCAGATATGATCAGTAAGCTAACATGAAGTGTAGTTTTTTTCTGGAGCGTAATGTATCTATTTAAAATAGAGCACTGTTTATCTAAAATGAGTGTATGCCCATGGGCTAAAGCACATCGTTCAATGGAGATTGAGTGTTGTACAGCATGGACAAAGTCTGCCTACATCGCCTGGCCCTGACACACCGGTGGTGGCCAGAGTGAACATCAAGCCATGATGTCATTACCGTGTGTTTAAGATGGATATACAGTAAAGTACGGTTATAACGAACTCAAAGGGACTACTAATTTTAGTTCGTTATAACCGTAGTTCGTTATAAGCATATATACAGCATAACTACAGCAACTAGTCGGGACCAAAAAGTAAGTTCGTTATATCTGTAAGTTCGTTATAAGCGTGTTCGTTATAACCGTAGTTTACTGTACCTGGTAATTTACAGTCTTACATTGAGAGGTATTCCTGATAATGTACAACCCTACTAGTGTGGGGTATGCCTAGCAATATATATACAACACTACGTTGAGAGTTATTCCTACGATGTGATGTGTCCTAATGCTGTACAGTATAACGTTGTGAGGTATTCCTAGCGATACACAATTCAACGTTGAAAAGAAGTCCTAGCGATGTACAACTCCACGTTGTGAGGTATTTCTAGCGATGTACAACTCCACGATGTGAGGTATTTCTAGCAATGTACAACTCCACGTTGTGAGGTATTCCTAGCGATGTACAACTCCACGTTGTGAGGTATTCCTAGCGATGTACAACTCCACGTTGTGAGGTATTCCTAGCGATGTACAACTCCACGTTGTGAGGTATTTCTAGCGATGTACAACTCCACGTTGTGAGGTATTCTTAGCGATGTACAACTCCACGTTGTGAGGTATTCCTAGCGATGTACAACTCCACGTTGTGAGGTATTCCTAGCGATGTACAACTCCACGTTGTGAGGTATTTCTAGCGATGGACAACTCCACGTTGTGAGGTATTCCTAGCGATGTACAACTCCACGTTGTGAGGTATTCCTAGCGATGTACGATCTTTCGTTGCGATAGCTAAATATTCTTAATTTCCCCCATAATATCAATATTACATTTATATGAAAAACATACATTTTAGAAAAGAGCATACATGTAACTATTTAGGTTTACATCATACAATAGTGTCCAAATGGAAAGGAAATGTTGGTATGCATGAACATTTTCGGAGAATACTCTACCAACATCGAATTTAGGGGCTAATCATTGACATCAGGTTTGACCAGATATTATAATCTAAAACATTATACAATTTTCAGGTATACTTCCAAGGAGGAAGGAAACAATTCATCCTCCATCCACATTTTAGCAAATTTCTATCGTGAAGAACGTCACAAGTTCTTTCAAATAAAGAGTTTCTGTCTTCTAGTTTGCGCTGACATGACATAAAAACATGTTTTATAATATCGTGAGCAACTGTCCCGGATAGACATTCCTATCATTCTTTAGGCTGTTATATGGCAGACTGGGTGTATTTTATTGTTTGAAAGTGATTGTAACTGTGTCACATTTTTTCTGTTGAGATTCGGTAGACGTTCATTACATTAATATTGTGTTTGGACAGTGATCAGTCGTCAGGAAGTTACTATTATTAGATGTTAGTGTGGTGTGTAAACCTCCGGTTTGTCATACCGCGGATGGTGATAGTATGTTATAGAAACATACGGAAATTTCAGGAATGTTCTTGTGCTGCTAGTGAGGTGAGGGTACTGTATAGAAACTTCCAGCACCTTGTTAGGCTGAATAATAGTGGGACAAGAGCGTGTTTATGTCTTTCTCACACATTTCGTCTCTCACGCATTTCATCGCTTTGGAACCAGCTTTCACGTGAGGATCTATCATCATCCCTGATTCCCTGCCTAATCCATCTTGGAAGCTTGACCACTGTCGCTGCTGGGTGAATCTGTATCATTATCACTGACTTTTGCTATCACCACTGTATTTTCGTATTTGATACTGACCACTGCCATAATATTATTTATTGCCATTGAATATTGTGCAACCACTCTATTGTGTACTGCCATTGTAATTGCTATGCAGTAATTTATATTGATTTGTAAACCTAGTATTTTTGTGTAATACATTTCTTTGAGTGTATACCACTTGTTGTTTGTTTGTTGGTTTCACACAAGATTCTTTTACGTACAAATTTCTGGGTTAACATATAGTTTCAATTTGAAAATCGACACGTAACAAGGCGTTGCACCTAACCTTATCATTCTGGCAATATAAGTGAAGTTGTGTGGTCCCTCTAGAGCAAGAGTCCATAATATGTGCTCTCGTCCCGATCTTATTGTTAAATATCTAGACAGATCACCATAGTGTATTTAGAAACAATCCGCAACATGTTAAAAATTGGTGATTTCATATCTAACTCTTGAATACCAATGTTTCTTTACAGCGGTACTTCCCAGGACGGACTGGAAACATGTGTTTAAAACTGGATATTAAGTCAGCTTAAAGTCAGGATTAAAAGGATTGTCCGTCTATATAACCCTGTAGGGATGTTATCCCAATTGTATCTCTCACAGATAGGGGCGGCCGGGTAGCCTAGTTGTTAAAGCATTCGCTCGTCACGCCGAAGACCTGGGTTCGATTCCCGACATGGGTACAATGTGTGAAGTGATGCAGTGATATTGCTGAAATATTGCTAACAGCGGCGTTAAACCATACTCACTCACTCACTCACTCTCTCACAGATACATTGGTGTACCCTTCTCAAAGAGCTGGATTTTCTTGCAGAAACAACACTGGACAATTTCAGGCATTTCATATTCTTTATGGGACAATTTGCCCTATAGAGTACATCCGTTTTGACCAAAAGGTAAGATCACTCAATTCAAAATACGAACAACTGCCTGACGATTCAAATCGCTGAAGTAGAGACCAGAGTCATGGTTTATATTTATCAATTTTCGAAGCTTTTTACAAACAATGTTTGTTCACTCCCCAGAAAACTTAGTAGTACTGATAGAGACTTCAGCATAAACAGTAGCTTTACAGGACGATTAGTTTCTCTAAGATAAAGGTGAACAGATATCCGTAGCAATGTACAGCCCTACATATAGAGGTATTTATAGCGGCATATTACTGTACACGGAGAAGTTTGTTTGTTTGTTTTTTAACGCCGCACTCAGCATTATTCCAGCTCTATGACAGCGGTCTGGAGATAATCGAGTGTGGACCAGATAATCAGGTGATTGACATCATGAGCATCGATCTCGGCAATCGGGATACGATGACATGCAGCAACCAAGTCAGAGAGCCTGACCACCCAACCCTGTTAGTCGCCTCTTACGACAAGCATAGTCGCCTGTTACGGCAAGCATGGTTGCTGAAGATATATTCTACTCCTTAACCTTCACTGGTCACACGGCGAGGGAGAGGCATTCCTACGTTCAGTTAATCCTGACGATGTGCGTCCCTATGTGAAGAGATATTCATAGCGACGTACGCCGGTATGAGACATTCCTAGCGATGTACAACCCTACGTTGAGCGGTATTCCAAGCGATGCAAGTCCAAAGCTATGAGATATCCTAAGCGATGTACAACCCAACATGATGGGTATCAAGCCTATTCCCTCACGGCCAATTTTGTACGTGTTTTCTATGCACCATGATACGTTAGCCGGAGTAATCATAACATTTTCATCTGTGTTCCATGGAATCCTGCCCTGCGTGTGTGTATGTATATCTAACTTGAGATAAGATGATTTTTGACGGCTATCACGTAAGGATAGATACTTTATCTTGTTTCAACAGCTAATTTGCAGTTGAGTCGAGTGCTCAGTGTACATAGGCCATAGGCAAGCCTTTTCAAGTGATTGGTGCATTTGAATCCTGGCCAAGACCAGTCCAGTGTTCGGTGTGAGGTTAGTCGAGTGCTTGGTGCACAAAGGCCCTGATCAAGACTCGTCAAATGATGGATGTAAAGATAGGTGAAGTGAGGTGAAATGGGGTTTAACGTCGCGTCCAAGATTATTGCACTAATATAGCGACGTGCATGTACGTGTGTGTGTTTGTGTGGCTGCTTGTACTAGTCCGGACTGATGCCGATTTATAGTGCTAGCTCACTGAGATACCATGCCGCAGTTTAACATGAATATCCCACTCAGACACAGTATACTGACTCCGAGCCGACCAGTGCTTGTTTTAGCCCCTCCATGCCGAGCGCCAGACAGGGTAAGTATTAACGTCTTTTGGTATGACGCGGCCGGGAATCGAACCCGGACCTTCCGCTCTCCGAGCGGACGCTCTACCACTAGACCACGGAGGCGATCTTCAAACATAGTAACCAGTATCCGACGAAACGGTTTATATTGGGCGTAAAAGAAAAATAGCTTTGAAAATAAAATGAATTGACCACTGAAAAATCAGGTGTTCGCGAAAATGGTAAGCATGTCCTGCTCTACCGGTAGCACCCGCCATTCACACAAAGAATGTATTTGTTGCTTTACGCCGCACATCAGTACTCCTGCCATGCGAGGGCGTTCTCTCAGCATCAAGTGATGGACCAGAAATCAAGTCACATGATAGCGCATTTACTGATTTTGTTGAACGTAAAAACGGCATATTAGACATGTACAGTGCTTGGTGTATATACACATGGAAATTAGTTAAGCAACATCCGTATATTCTCAGACCGGGCAACTTTAATGAACCAGTGCATGAAATATGTAAAGGATTTCCATACCAAATAATATTTTAGTGACAAGAAAGAGTTGGGGAGGAACATAGCCAAGATTAATATTACCATGAAATAATTTATTTTTTTAGATGTTACAGATTTGGAAAATGACTTAATTTCATCCAAAAAATTACGAATGTCTCTTTTGTTGCACAGACTAAACTGTCAGTACCATGCACACTTCTTGTTCACGGAATTGAAGTGAGTGAGTGAGTTGGGTGTAACGCCGCTTTTAACAGTATTCCAGTTATACCGCGGCGTGTCAGCTTTATTATGGGAGGAAAGCCCAAAGTGATGCAGGTCTCAGACGTTTACCACTTCGGTGAAACCCACGAGCACGGGTATGGTGATGACAAACCTAGAAACATAATTAGGGCGAACCGGGATTCGAACCCACAATCATAGGTTTCTGGCGTGCCCAAGGGGCGTAACTCTGCACAGCGAATCGCGGCGACTTAGACGACTGGGCCACCCGTGCACCCCGGAATTGAAGAACAATGTCCAAATATTGACTTTCCATCAGTATCTTGTGTAACTTCCCCGAACTGCTTCAAGACGCCTCCTCATTCTTTGGATCAATCTCTTGATTTGATGAAATGAGGAATTTTCCATGTGTATATATACCCTTGCCTAGACTAGTCATGTGCTTAGTCTCCTTAGGCGCTGGCCAAGGTTAGTCAAATGCTTGGTGTGTATAGGCCGTCCCGGAGACGTACCACCCGACACTGACGTACAGACATGTATGACATCAAAGATTGTTTGCGGTCTTTGAGACTGGGTTTTACTTTTAGAAATGTGTGTACATAGTTGATAGCATCCTTTGTATAAAAGGGTTGAACACAAAATCATATGAAAACAATTATGTTAAAATTGCTTGGGTCAGAATATTCACGTTATCTATGAAATCATAACGGCGTGTGCCGAGAATAGAAGGATGCAACCTTGTTTCCACAGCAACCTTCTCAGATGAAACAGATTATCTTCAGAGAGGCACTTTGTAATAAATTGAATATAATTCACACAATGATTATAAAACTATTTATTAAATAAAAAATGATTTAAATAAATATGAGTGAGTGATTGCGGTTAAAGGCCGCTAAAGAATTTAATTATATTATAAGCGTATGAGTGAGTGAGTGAGTGAGTTGGGTTTAACGCCGCTTTTAACAGTATTCCAGTTATATCACGGCGTGTCAGCTTAATGTGGGAGGAAAGCCCGAAGTGATGCAGGTCTCAGACGTTTACCACTTCGGTGAAACCCACAAGCACGGGTACGGTGCTGACAAACCTAGAAACATAATCGAGGCGAACCGGGATTCGAACCCACAATCATAGGTTTCTGGCGTGCCCAAGGGACGCAACTCTTCACAGCGAATCGCGGGGCCTTAGACGACTGGGCCACCCGTGCCCCCTATAAGCGTATGAGCTTAATGTAGCAGAAACCTACAGGTACAGCAGGCTTTATATCTTTTCTACTATGGTAATACGAAGGGGTGGTTAGGATGCTAAGATAATTACTGAAGCGAATTCGAGATTCGAACTGCTAAATGCCGGATCCTGTCAATGGAGGGACCCAACATACGGCTACCAACGCCACGGGCCAACCATATGGCCAATAAATACAGGAAGACCACTTGACAGGCAGACAGCATGGAACCCACGTATTAAGTAGTTAAGTCACGTTCAGACAACTGGGAACCCATGTGTTAAGTACAGATGACAAGCAGAAGCTAGGAAATCAAGTGTTAAGTATTGATTACAGGCAGACAGGAAACCATGTGTTGAGTATTGATTACAGGCAGACAGGAACCCACGTGTTAAGTATTGATTACAGGCAGACAGCTGGAAACCACGTGTTAAGTATTGATTACAAGCAGACAGGAACCCACGTGTTAAGTATTGATTACAGGCAGGCAACTGGGAACCCACGTCTAGGAACCCACATATCAAGTATTGATTACAGGCAGGCAACTGGGAACCCACGTCTAGGAACCCACGTATTAAGTATTGATAACAGGCAGGCAACTGGGAACCCACGTCTAGGAACCCACGTGTTAAGTATTGATTACAGGCAGGCAACTGGGAACCCACGTCTAGGAACCCAAGTGTTAAGTATTGATTACAGACAGGCAACTGGGAACCCACGTCTAGGAACCCAGGTGTTAAGTATTGATTACAGACAGGCAACTGGGAACCCACGTCTAGGAACCCAGGTGTTAAGTATTGATTACAGGCAGGCAACTGGGAACCCACGTCTAGGAACCCAGGTGTTAAGTATTGATTACAGGCAGACAGCTGGGAACCCACCTCTAGGAACCCAAGTGTTAAGTATTGATTACAGGCAGACAGGAACCCAGGTGTTAAGTATTGACTACAGACAGGCAACACGGAACCCACGTCTAGGAACCCAAGTGTTAAGTATTGATTACAGGCAGGCAACTGGGAACCCACGTCTAGGAACCCAAGTGTTAAGTATTGATTACAGACAGGCAACTGGGAACCCACGTCTAGGAACCCAGGTGTTAAGTATTGATTACAGGCCGACAGCTGGGAACCCACGTCTAGGAACCCAGGTGTTAAGTATTGATTACAAGCAGGCAACACGGAACCCACGTCTAGGAACCCAGGTGTTAAGTATTGATTACAGGCAGACAGCTGGGAACCCACCTCTAGGAACCCAAGTGTTAAGTATTGATTACAGGCAGACAGGAACCCAGGTGTTAAGTATTGACTACAGACAGGCAACACGGAACCCACGTCTAGGAACCCAAGTGTTAAGTATTGATTACAGGTAGACAGCTGGGAACCGACCTCTAGGAACCCAAGTGTTAAGTATTGATTACAGGCAGACAGGAACCCACGTGTTAAGTATTGATTACAGGCAGGCAACTGGGAACCCACGTCTAGGAACCCACGAGTTAAGTATTGATTACAGACAGGCAACACGGAACCCACGTCTAGGAACCCAAGTGTTAAGTATTGATTACAGGCAGGCAACTGGGAACCAACGTCTAGGAACCCACGTGTTAAGTATTGATTACAGGCAGGCAACTGGGAACCCACGTCTAGGAACCCAAGTGTTAAGTATTGATTACAGGCAGGCAACTGGAAACCCACGTCTAGGTACCCAAGTGTTAAGTATTGATTACAGGCAGGCAACTGGGAACCCACGTCTAGGAACCCAAGTGTTAAGTATTGATTACAGGCAGGCAACACGGAACCCACGTCTAGGAACCCAAGTGTTAAGTATTGATTACAGGCAGGCAACACGGAACCCACGTCTAGGAACCCAAGTGTTAAGTATTGATTACAGGCAGACAGGAATCCACGTGTTATGTATTGAGTACCGGCAGACAGGAACCCACGTGTTAAATATTGATCACAGGCAGACAGCTGGGAACCCAAGCCTAGGAACCCACGTGTTAAGTATTGATTACAGGCAGACAGGAACCTACGTGTTAAATATTGATTACAGGCAGACAGCTGGGAACCCAAGCCTAGGAATCCACGTGTTATGTTATGATCACAGGCAGACAGCTGGGAACCACGTGTTTAGTATTGATTACAGACAGCTGGGAACCACGTGTTGAGTATTGATCACAGGCAGACAGCTGGGAACCACGTGTTAAGTATTGATCACAGGCAGACAGCTGGGAACCACGTGTTAAGTATTGATTACAGACAGCTGGGGACCACGTGTTAAGTATTGATCACAGGCAAACAGCTCGGAACCACGTGTTAAGTATTGATCACGGGCAGACAGCTGGGAACCCACTCATGGTGGCAGTACCAGCTAGATGGCTCGCGATACCGCCGGAAGCCAAACCGCTTGACGACTGTATAATATGCTATCGCGAAACCATTGCACATCTTTCTTTTGAACCAACTCTTCTCGCTACAAGCTCGGTACATTTGTCCATGAAACACTTGGTCACACATCTCCCTGCTTACTTTGTATCTGTACCCCTGAAATGAATTAACAAATGAGTGAGAGAGTGAAAAGGTATTTCAGTTATATCACGGCGTGTCAACCTTTTCCCGGAAGAGAATGTGAACGACGCCTTATAAAGTATAATATACATAGTTTGGGTAAAAAAACGGTAAAGATTGTTTAATAGTACAAAATATAATAGTATTAAGTCGATAAGTCTCACGTTAAGAGCGAAAACCTAAGAAATTACTAATGCGCATGTTCAAATGACTATTAGTTCTCTGGGATTTAGTTGACTGAGATAAGTTGAAGGAATATTACATTTGTATGTTTTTAAAAGATCTTATAATTAACAACTCAATGTAGGATTAAAAAATAACGTGTGTTGTGTACACAATTCCCATCTTGCCCACACTGGATTGATCATGAATACACATCATAGTTACCTCTTTTTTCTTTTTTTTTAACACCACACTTATTATTTCAGCTATATGGCGGCGATCTGTAAATAATCGAGTCTGGATCAGACAACCAGTGATTGACATCATGAGCAAGATCTAGGCAATTTGGATTACATCCAAGTACACTCGATCCCGTTAGTCGCCTCTTACGACAAGCATCAGTCACAGAAGGCCAGTTCTACCCCGGACCTACACGTGTCGTCATCGTTATATAGGTGGGATGTTGCTGAGTACATAATGATGTAATTTGAGTCTCCTCATGAAATACCACCTCAATTAAGAAAACCCCTTCATTGCAAATATGAAGTCAAAAGGAAGTATACCGATTTGTGTTTTACATGTAATTGAAAATTGAATTATATCTAACCATCCTACAACAGTTTGTACAAAGTCATTTGTGGCTGTATCAGTTTTTGTAAAAAATAATTATTTCAATGAGGACTTGGGTAAGAAATGGATTTATAACCACTTGGCCCCTACCATGATGGAAATGAGGTCAATTTGTGCCGAAAAAATGATCAAATATGTGTTTTTTCACAGATAAGATATCTAAGCTACCCATCAGCATTTGTGTATAATGCGAATCATTTTGTTTTTAATTTTCAAGAGTTTTAAATCACATTATGTTTGACAAAAAAGAATGTAGCATAATTATTGGAGTGCTGTCTAAGGGCCAGTACAGTTAATTTTTTATACTTAAGGTATTTTCTAGTGAAAAACAAACCTACAAAAAATCAACCGAGAGGTGTAGTTTCTTTCCTCCTCAGTTTATTTCTTTTTGCACACAGTCATCATTTGAAAAAAGATTAATTAAATGGTCACATTTGAATTGCTATTTCTTGATAAGATGTGATGTAATGCCGAAACGTGAAATATATTACTTTTTGGGATGGAGAATAAGCTTACACGGACAACACATACTGAGATCCTACTGTGAAAGAAACAATCTGTCACTCACGCATCTGTAGCACATGTCATGGCGATTGCAGGCTGGCGTGAACGTCGTCTTGAAGAAGAACGGAAGTTTGAACGGCGTACTGCAACCATTGACGTCATACCTAGCGCACGTGTCACTTGACGTCACCGACACTACCAATAACGCAACGCTCAGTCCTTGAATCAATTGCATATGTCCTGAAATGGTAGCAAAGAAAATTATACAAGATGTAATAGTTTACAGTTTCCGGACTAATGTCGGTTTCATAGTGCTAGCCCACTGAGACACCATGCCGTTGTTTAACGTGGATATGTATCCTGACTCCGAGTAGGGTAACAACAAATTCAACAATAGCCACTTTTCAATGTCTTTTGGTATGACGCTGCCGTGATTCGAACCACCGACCTTCCGCTCTCTTGGGGCTGACTCCAATATGACATCTAAGTCTGGAGTGTGTAATCTATAGAGGAATCTATAGTACACTGAAAGCGATGAACATCCAACGTTAAACACCCACATACACACGCACACGCACACTTTTACGCACGCACGCACGCACGCACGCACGTACATTCACACACGCATGCAAGCACAGAGACACACACACACGCTCACACACATAGACTTACACACGCACACACACTCACAAACACACACACACACATGCACGCACACATACACACAGACTTACACACGCACATACACACACGCACGCACGAATTCACACATGCACTCACGCACACCCGAACTCACACACACGCATGCGAGCACACAGACACACACACGCTCACAAACACAGACTTACACACGCACACACACCCATGCACGCACACAGACACACACTCTCATACAGACTTTTACAAACACACACACACACACACACACTCACTCTTACACACACACACACACACACACAGACTCTCTCTCACACACACACAGACTCTCTCTCTCTCACACACACACAGACTCACACACACACACAGAGACTCTCTCTCTCACACACACACACTCACACACACAGACTCTCTCTCACACACACACACACAGACAGACACACACACACCTACACACACAGACACAGACACACCTACACACACACACACCTACACACACACACACACCTACACACACACACAGACTCACACACACACAGACTCTCACACACACACAGACAGACACACACACACACCTACACACACACACCTACACACACACAGACACAGACACACACACACCTACACACACACCCACACACACACACACACACACACACACACACACACACACACACACACACACACCTACACACACACACACACACACAGACACACACACACACACACACACACACACACACACACACACACACACACACACACACACACACACACACACCATGAAGATGCCGGATTGAAACAGATCCCCGGCAACCTCTCGGCTCACCAATGTACAGGCCGCCGCCGAATACTGCTGTGTACGACGCCAAACAACAATCAAACACGGGTAAATAGTGAATGAGGAAACTACGCGGCTGTAACAGCCGTGTCTTTAAATAGATGTGAAACTACCGTTCACAATTGCCAAATGTCACATAAAACCACTTACAAGCAGGATCGGGAAGTGTACACTGAAACTATCAGCTCACCAAGGCAGATATAGGAGGACATGTATTACACACAAATTACCCCATTTTTCTAACACTGCTATACTGACACGCGTTTAACGCTGATTCTAAGCTGTAAGAATAATGTCAGTCTCTGAATTAAATGTCACCGTACGAATTTAAATACTTAGCATAATTAGTGACTACACGGACACCACCACTTGAAAGGACAAAGGGGAATTATGTTATTATTTTTGAATAATTGTTTTGAGATCCTATCTAGTCTTAAAGGCGGGCTGCGCTCCACGATCTCAAGCCTGTTTGTCGTCTAAGTCTGGAGATTGAAAGAGGGACCGGTGTCAAACAAAGACATTGTCTCTGTGTTATAGGACTAATCGCAACTGCTAGATTGAGACATGTAACAAATAACGAAGGCTTTGACTGACCCGAATCAATCGTGCTAGGGCAGCCACTCGGCCACTTCATGGTATCCCTTTAAAACAGTTCCTATGCAACACTTTACGGGTGTTAGTTGTGTTAATTGTTTCGCTTTCCTTTTAACCTAAATAGTAAGGTTGAAATATAATGTCCGCATCTATCTCCGACAATAACACGCGTGAATTTAACATCCTTATGTGTTAAAGCAACTATGCTTGTCAAAAGAGGCGACTAACGGGATCGGTTGGTCAGGCTCGCTCATGATGTCACTGGATTGTCTGGTCCAGACTCGATTATTTACAGACCGCCGTCATAGAGCTGGAATATTGCTGAGTGCGGCGTTAGACAACAAACAAACAAGCATCCTTATGTTTGGTTATATTTGTTACAAGAAGTGTCAATAAACAGAGTAAATTACATATCCTGCAATCTATAAGCAAAAATGTATCGGGACGGGGCATACCTATAAACCCTGTTTGCTATCTCGAGCACTCTGCGGCCTCGCTTTACGGAATACAGTTTGGTGCCTACGCCTATTTAACCTTAGCCAGGATTCATTTCCTGGGAAGAACATGAAAACCATGAAACGTACAGAGTACTCATTTGAATTAGTAACCATTTCCCTCACCACTTTAACATTTATGAATAAATGCTGACACTTATACAAACGTATTTATAACATATATTTAAACACGCTACAACCCTACCCCGCATCCTGTGTCCGGCGTCGTCTCGCTGTGTACTTGGTCACGTGTCCTTTAGACCAGCGTCCATTCTCATGTCGATGTCAAAGTTGACACACGTCATTGTCTCTAGTTCCGCAAAGCACGTGTACAAAAACACATCTCAAGTTCAGCAGGTGACACGTGTACATTCGCCTGGTAGTGCAACATTGGTTGAGTGACGGGGCCAGGGATATCCGTTCCAGCGTAAACACGGAGCCTGGCGTTTGGGAAAGCGCATTACGTCCCGCCTGTGAGAGAGGCACGATATTGACATGGTCTGTACAGTTACCTCCCCTGTCTGTCGACGTGTGTGTTCGGTTAGATAGCGGCAGTACCAATGTGAGAAATACCAGAGGAGTAGCAGCACCAATGTGAGAAATACTGAAGGAGTAGCAGTACCAATATGAGAAATACCAGAGGAGTGGCAGTACCAATATGAGAAATACCAGAGGAGTGGCAGTACCAGTATGAGAAATACCAGACGAGTGGCAGTACCATTATGAGAAATACCAGACGAGTGGCAGTACCAATATGAGAAACACCAAAGGAGTGGCAGTACCAATATGAGAAATACCAGAGGAGTGGCAGTACCAATAGGAGAAATACCAGAGGAGTGGCAGTACCAATGTGAGAAATACCAGACGAGTGGCAGTACCATATGAGAAATACCAGAAGAGTGGCAGTACCAATGTGAGAAATACAAGACGAGTGGCAGTACCAATGTGAGAAATACAAGACGAGTGGCAGTACCAATGTGAGAAATACCAGACGAGTGGCAGTACCAATGTGAGAAATACCAGACGAGTGGCAGTACCAATGTGAGAAATACCAGACGAGCGGCAGTACCAATGTGAGAAATACCAGACGAGTGGCAGTACCAATATGAGAAACACCAAAGGAGAGGCAGTACCAATATGAGAAATACCAGAGGAGTGGCAGTACCAATAGGAGAAATACCAGAGGAGTGGCAGTACCAATGTGAGAAATACCAGACGAGTGGCAGTACCATATGAGAAATACCAGAAGAGCGGCAGTACCAATGTGAGAAATACCAGACGAGTGGCAGTACCAATGTGAGAAATACAAGACGAGTGGCAGTACCAATGTGAGAAATACCAGACGAGTGGCAGAACCAATGTGAGGAATACCAGACGAGTGGCAGTACCAATGTGAGAAATACTAGAGGAGTGGCAGTACCAATGTGAGAAATACCAGAGGAGTGGCAGTACCAATGTGAGAAATACCAGACGAGTGGTAGTACCAATGTGAGAAATACCAGACGAGTGGCAGTACCAATATGAGAAATACCAGACGAGTGGCAGTACGAATGTGAGAAATACTGGAGGAGCGGCAGTACCAATGTGAGAAATACCAGACGAGTCGCAGTACGAATGTGAGAAATACCAGACGAGTGGCAGTACGAATGTGAGAAATACTGGAGGAGCGGCAGTACCAATTAAGAAATACCAGACGAGTCGCAGTACGAATGTGAGAAATACCAGACGAGTGGAAGTACCAATGTGAGAAATACCGGAGGAGGTGCAGCACCAATGTGAGAAATACCAGACGAGTGGCAGTACCAATGTGAGAAATATCAGAAGATTGGCAGTACCAGTGTTAGAAATACTGGAGGAGCGGCAGCACCAATGTGAGAAATGCCAGACGAGTGGCAGTACCAATGTGAGAAATATCAGAAGATTGGCAGTACCAGTGTTAGAAATACTGGAGGAGTGGCAGCACCAATGTGAGAAATACCAGACGAGTGGCAGTACCAATGTGAGAAATATCAGAAGATTGGCAGTACCAGTGTTAGAAATATCAGAAGATTGGCAGCACCAATGTGAGAAATACCAGACGAGTGGCAGTACCAATGTGAGAAATATCAGAAGATTGGCAGTACCAGTGTTAGAAATACTGGAGGAGTGGCAGCACCAATGTGAGAAATACCAGACGAGTGGCAGTACCAATGTGAGAAATATCAGAAGATTGGCAGTACCAGTGTTAGAAATACTGGAGGAGAGGCAGCACCAATGTGAGAAATACAAGAGGAGAGGCAGTACCAATGTGAGAAATACTACAATAGAAAGAATGTTTCACTGAATGTATGATGTTTTCCCCATACCCCCGACACATGTCCTGTCAGTCTGTTGAGGGTCCACAGGGATTGCCACCTCAAAACGTTTGCAATAATGATGACCCTCTCTTGCCACAAAGGCTGTCCTCGACCTCGCGATGCATGGTTCAACAGACAACCTTTAGCCAAAAACAAGCTTGGCCCCCCGATGAAAACATGGTCAGTAAGGACGATATCACCACCGACAAGCGGCTGATGAACCAAAGTGCCAAGAAAAACGCATGATCCAGTCCTTGTCAAGCAAAGGTGCCCCTGCATCCCAAATAGCGCAATTATCCGGACATTAAAATATCCAGCCCCTTAATTTGTGTTCACGAATCACTGAAGACCCGCATCAGCAAATATATATCCTACAAAAAATAAGGGAACTGATGAAATGATAGTAAAGGTGTAATATACATAAATGTTGGTAAAATTATTTTCGGGCTTGAAGATCAATATCGTGAGTGTCCACCATGTTGGGTGATACACGACACCTTGATGACATACTGTTGAGTAACTTGCCTATGGGGGCGGTCGGGTAGCCTAGTGGTTAAAGCGTTTGACCCGAGTTCGATTCCCGACATGGGTACAATGTGTGACGCCCATTTACGGTGTGCCCCGCCGTGATATTCCTGGAATAGTGCTAAAAGCGGCGTAAAACCATACTCACTCACTCACTTGCCTATAGTTGCCCTTGGTATTGCCCGCCATTCCGCCTAAAGAGCTAGCCCAAGCGGGGCCACGTTGGCGGTGTGTGGGCCTCTGGTGTAAACTCTCCGCCCGAGAACATATGCTTTATTGGGGACTGTGTCTACTATATGTTAGGGGACTAAGTCGGTCAGTCCAATGGCCGGATGTCTTCTAGTCGGAGATAACGGCTGACTTGGCCTGGGCGAATAAAGTTCTGTTCTGTTCTGAAAAGTGATTTGAGGTGAAATAGGGTTTAACAGAGTTATTACAGTTATACTACGACGTGCACACTAGACATTTATTAAATAATATCCATTTTCAATGCATTTGAACGTTTAGAACCTTCTTAAGCTGTCTTGTCATAGCCTTTGCCATTGCAGGGTTTTTTCACGCATGCGTAGAACGGACAATTGTCAACCAGTGTAAAGAAACGTTCGACACAAATATCACATGTCATTTTCTTTGAAGACGTTGTTTAAGCGGACATGTCCAACAATCAAGTTTAAGATCCCTTTTGAAACACCAACTCTACCTTCTGTGGGTTTATCGATGTCATTCAGCTACAAACTGACTCGTACATAAGACGATGTATCAGGTAGTGTGTGTGTGTGTGTGTGTGTGTGTGTGTGTGTGTGTGTGTGTGTGTGTGTGTGTGTGTGTGTGTGTGTGTGTGTGTGTGTGTGTGTGTGTGTGTGTGTGTGTGTGTTCGCATGCGCGCGTGTGTGTGTGTGTGTGTGTGTGTGTGTGGTAGGGGAACAATTAGTGAGTCAATATGTGTTGTTGAAAGTCGCATTCAGACATCCGTCACTTCTGTTTTCCTTCGAAATTTATAATTCAGCCATTTCTGGTGCCCCCCTCGATGAAATTGCTGGAATATTGCTCAGGCGACGTTAAACCAAACTCACTCACTCATTTTGCGGCTAACGGACTAGCAGTGTGGACCCGGTCGGATTTTAAGTGCGCTTCATCTGTACGAGTACGCTCCCTTGCGTCGCTCCTTATAGGAGACAGTCGGTAAGCGACAGTGTGTACTAACCCATCTATAAGTTTGGGCAGTTTCGACTCATGCGGGACACTGAGCTCTATGCAACTGTGAGGGAATTCACCTCAACTAAATTTCATTAAACGGGGAAATATACACTCGGACATTTAACTCTGTAATAGATAAACATATTACATTCAATCACATGTCATTCATAAATTAACACTTCGACGTCTAACGTAGCTTACCCCCATTCAAGCCGACTGCTACAGGTACCAACTGTGTCCCATGGCAACGGCACAAAGCATTTATACTATTTATAGCACATTCTCCCAGAGTCACCTTGCAGCAAGGATAAGTTTAGGTATCAGCGTGAATTCTTCAGCCAGTTGGCTCCGCGCACATGTTTACGGTCAAGGCCGAAATTCTGTAGTCACTGCACAGAGGGAAACCATGGTTGTACTAGCATACCTTATGTCACATGACAAAATGGAGGCTGTCTGTGTTTGACAGATACGACTCATATCGTTATGGCACCGTCCTTCACGGGGAGTTTGAAGCGTGAAGATTAAAGGAGGTAGGTATTTGTGTTTCTATATAGACCTGTCAACGCTAGAATGTGACACGTGACACTTTTCTGACATAGTACAGACCGTCCTGCTTGAACATTCTGTCCTAAACCTGGTGACACTGCAGCAACGCGCCTTTTAACGGAGTACTATTTATCGACAACGAAAAGGTAACACTGTTCTTATAGTATTAATGCACAATTTTGAGGAGGTCATCGTTGACGTGGAAGATGTTTTACTCAACATTGTGGCAAGGTCATCGTAACCCTCCCCATATAAAGTAGTATTAAGTTACATATGATTATATATTCGATTCCATGAAGGTGAGCTGAATATCTATGGTCACTTATACTTGGGTTTTGGAACAGGTATGAGTGACCTACCTGTAGGTGAATATTTACCTATGAGAACTGTAACGCGCAGGTGTATATATCTGTGGTAGAGAACGGTACAACACGGCCGTTTACAGGTGTACATATCTGCAGTTGGGAACTGTATAACACGTCCGTTTACAGGTGTACATATCTGCAGTTGAGAACTGTAAAACACGGCCGTCTACAGGTGTATATATCTGCAGCAGAGAACTGTATAACACGGCCGTCTGCAGGTGCACATATCTGCAGTTGAGAACTGTATAACTTGTCTGTCTAAAAGTGTATATATCTGCAGTTGAGAACTGTATAACTTGGCTGTCTACAAGTGTATATATCTGCAGTTGAGAACTGTATAACTTGGCTGTCTACAAGTGTATATATCTGCAGTTGAGAACTGTATAACTTGGCTGTCTACAAGTGTATATATCTGCAGTTAAGAACGGTATAACTTGGCTGTCTACAAGTGTATATATCTGCAGTTGAGAACTGTATAACTTGGCTGTCTACTGGTGTATATATCTGCAGTTGAGAACGGTATAACTTGGCTGTCTACAAGTATATATATCTGCAGTTGAGAACGGTATAACTTGGCTGTCTACAAGTGTAAATATCTGCAGTTGATAACGGTATAACTTGGCTGTCTACAAGTGTATATATCTGCAGTTGAGAACGGTATAACGTGGCTGTCTACAAGTGTATATATCTGCAGTTGAGAACGGTATAACACGGCCGTCTACAAGTGTATATATTTTCAGTTGAGAACTGTATAACTTGGCTGTCTACAAGTGTATATATCTGCAGTTGAGAACTGTATAACTTGACTGTCTACAAGTGTATATATCTGCAGTTGAGAACGGTATTACTTGGCTGTCTACAAGTGTATATATCTGCAGTTGAGAACGGTATAACTTGGCTGTCTACAGGTGTATACTAGTATATCTGCAGTTGAGAACGGTATAACTTGGCTGTCTACAAGTGTATATTTCTGCAGTGGAGAACGGTATATTTTGGCTGTCTACAGGTGTATATATATCTGCAGTTGAAAACGGTATAACACGGATGTCTGCAGGTGTATATACTAGTATCTACAGGTGAATGTTATAACACGCCAGTCTACAAGTGTTCATATCTACAGGTGTGTTTTAACATGCCATTCTACAGGTGTATATATATCTACAGGTGAGGGTTATAACACGGCCGTCTACAGGTGTATTTATCTACAGGTGACTGTTATAACACGTCAGTCTACAGGTGTATATATCTACAGGTGAGAGTTAACACACCAGTCTACGTGTTTATCTATCTGCAGGAGAGTGTTATAACTCGCTAGTCTACAGGTGTATATATCTACAAGTAAGTGTTATAACACGCCAGTCTTCGGGTGTATTTATCTACAGGTGAGTGTTTTAACACGCCAGTCTAAGGTGTATATATCCACAGGTGAGTGTTATAACACGCTAGTCTACATACTGGCATGTGAATCATTCTAATATATATCATGTTTCTTATCACGTCAACTGTACATGCATTGTTACCAAGGTCACAGCGACTGGACCTGTTGTTTATCTACAAGTGAGTCTTATAACACGCCAGTCGTCAGGTGTAGTTATCTACAGGTTTATAACACGCCGCTCTAAGGTGTATATATCTACAGGTGAGTGTTATAACACGCCGCTCTAAGGTGTATATATCTACAGGTGAGTATTATAACACGCCGCTCTAAGGTGTATATATCTACAGGTGAGTGTTATAACACGCCAGTCTACAGGTATATATATCTACAGGTGAATATAATAACACGCCAGTCTACATACTAGTATGTGAATCATTCTCATACCATATCATGTTTCTCATCACGTCAACTGTATATGCATTGTTACCAAGGTTACTTAGTTTTTCCCGCACAGCGACTGGACGTATTTTATCAAAGTCAGGTGCTGTGTGTGAGGCGTGTTAACGACAACAAGCACTCCTGGCCCACACAGCTGTGCTTATCAATGACCTTGTCGTGATCATCAGGGACCACTTATCCTTGGTGGTAGTTGTTATACTCTGCCTCCTGTTGCAGATGTTGATATGATGGTATTTGTGCACACGTGCACATGGTACTTTCAGCTATGTATTCCTTCACTAATGATAAATACACACGTCCGTTAATACACACGTCCGTTAGCACATAATGTTTCAGTTTTACGTATTTCTATTGTACAGTTTACATACATTCAGTGAAACATGCCTTATATTGTACATACATTCAGTGAAACATACTTTCTGTTCTACATACATTCAGTGAAACATACTCTCTATTGTACATACATTCAGTGAAACATACTTTCTGTTGTACATACATTCAGTGAAACATACCCTTTGTTGTACATGCATTCAGTGAAACATACTTTCTATTGTATATACATTCAGTGAAACATACTTTCTGTTCTACATACATTCAGTGAAACATACTCTCTATTGTACATACATTCAGTGAAACATACTTTCTATTGTACATACATTCAGTGAAACATACTTTCTATTGTACATACATTCAGTGAAACATACTTTCTATTGTACATACATTCAGTGAAACATACTTTCTATTGTACATACATTCAGTGAAACATACTTTCTAATGTACATACATTCAGTGAAACATACCATCTATTGTACATACATTCAGTGAAACATACTTTCTATTGTACATACATTCAGTGAAACATACCCTCTGTTGTACATACATTCAGTGAAACATACTTTCTATTGTACATACATTCAGTGAAACATACTTTCTGTTCTGCATACATTCAGTGAAACATACCCTCTGTTGTACATACATTCAGTGAAACATGCCCTCTGTTGTACATACATTCAGTGAAACATACCTTATATTGTACATACATTCTGTGAAACATACTTTCTATTGTACATACATTCAGTGAAACATACTTTCTATTGTACATACATTCAGTGAAACATACTTTCTATTGTACATGCATTCAGTGAAACATACCATCTATTGTACATACATTCAGAGAAACATACCATCTATTGTACATACATTCAGTGAAACATACCCTCTGTTGTACATACATTCAGTGAAACATACTTTCTATTGTACATACATTCAGTGAAACATACTTTCTATTGTACATACATTCAGTGAAACATACTTTCTATTGTACATACATTCAGTGAAACATACTTTCTATTGTACATCCATTCAGTGAAACATACCATCTATTGTACATACATTCAGTGAAACATACTTTCTATTGTACATACATTCAGTGAAACATACTTTCTATTGTACATACATTCAGTGAAACATACTTTCTATTGTACATACATTCAGTGAAACATACCCTCTGTTGTACATACATTCAGTGAAACATACTTTCTATTGTACATACATTCAGTGAAACATACTTTCTGTTCTGCATACATTCAGTGAAACATACCCTCTGTTGTACATACATTCAGTGAAACATACTTTCTGTTGTACATACATTCAGTGAAACATACTCTCTATTGTACATACATACAGTGAAACATACTTTCTATTGTACATACATTCAGTGAAACATGCCCGCTGTTCTACATACATTTAGTGAAACATACAATCTATTGTACACACATTCAGTGAAACATACTCTCTATTGTACATACATTCAGTGAAACATACTTTCTATTGTACATACATTCAGTGAAACATACTTTCCATTGTACATGCATTCAGTGAAACATACCATCTATTGTACATACATTCAGAGAAACATACTTTCTATTGTACATACTTTCAGTGAAACATACCCTCTGTTGTACATACATTCAGTGAAACATACTTTCTATTGTACATACATTCAGCGAAACATACTTTCTATTGTACATACATTCAGTGAAACATACTTTCTGTTGTACATACATTCAGTGAAACATACTCTCTATTGTACATACATTCAGTGAAACATACTTTCTATTGTACATACATTCAGTGAAACATGCCCGCTGTTCTACATACATTTAGTGAAACATACAATCTATTGTACACACATTCAGTGAAACATACTTTCTGTTGTACATACATTCAGTGAAACATACTCTCTATTGTACATACATTCTGTGAAACATACTTTCTATTGTACATACATTCAGTGAAACATACTTTCTGTTGTACATACATTGAGTGAAACATACTTTCTATTGTACATACATTCAGTGAAACATACCTTCTGTTGTAAAACAACTCAGTGAAACATACTTTCTATTGAACATACATTCAGTTAAACATACTTTCTATTGTACATACATTCAGTGAAACATACATTCTATTGTATATACATTGAGTGAAACATACTTTCTTTTGTACGTACATTCAGTGAAACATACTTTCTATTGTACATACATTCAGTGAAACATACCTTCTATTGTACATACATTCAGTGAAACATACATTCTATTGTACATACATTCAGTGAAACATACATTCTATTGTATATACATTCAGTGAAACATACTCTCTATTGTACATACATTCAGTGAAACATACCATCTATTGTACATACATTCAGTGAAACATACTTTCTGTTGTACATACATTCAGTGAAACATACCTTCTATTGTACATATATTTAGTGAAACAT